CCCACTACATTTCCACCCAGCGTTCTTCATACAGCTCCATTCATATGTGATTATCATTTTTTGCATGGTTCTACTGTTACTCCTTCTTTTGTTCTTATGCTTCGTATCTGCCGCTCCATTCTGCTTCATTTCTTCGCATGAGGCGTCGCTCTCGCCGCGAAGAGACAATCTCGGTTCAACTGCACCACACCCGTTATGATGCAAATCGCCCTGTGTTAAAACTACCATCAGGCTCCCTTCTTGCCAAAGACTTCATTGATACGTCGTATACGTGACTGGTTAAGGACCTGTGCATTCAATTAGGGTTATGCCGTGAAAGGGAATATGTTGTCTGCGAAATCCTGCGTCCATGGCATTTTATTTCACCGTTAGCTCACTGTAAGAATCGAGTGCCGGTTCTGATTTTCCGTTTTCTTGAACTTCTTATCTAACAGAGTGGTAGGGTTGCATTTTGGTTTCGTAATTTTGGTAGCTTTTTTCTTCGTTTACCATCTTTTCTCATAGCAGTAGACGGTTGTCGCTTTTTTCGACCGGACGCAAATAAAAATACGTGACGACTTTCAGTTTGTGCGTTTTTTCACCTACTTTTTTACCCGCCCCTTCACGTAGCGACTGATGATTGGATACTGTTCACTTTTTTATCTTTCTCCAGAGTTTTTACTCAGCAATCTGACTTTTTCGCTAGTTTCTGTCGTATTTGGTAGTTTCCAGCCACGTGTTTGCCATTTGTAGTGCGACTTTCTACTACTGAACTGTTGGGGTATTCATCATCACCTTCAACCCAGCTCACGTGATTTATTCTGCCAATAACTGTTTTTATGGTTTTGTAAAACTGGATCTATTGCACGTTGTTCTTCCTTATTGCTTCCTGTGTCACGATTCCGTTTTGTATAGGATGATCCACAACATCTAATCGATAGATGGTTGTCAATATTTTTTGGCAGAATTTGTGTTGTGACAACGGCTAGTCCCTCGATGTTTTGCCAGAGACTTTACCTTATTAGGAAGAAGTTCGGTAATTCAATAACGGTGGTGTTATATAAAGTTTTACAGATTTTTAGCAGTATGTATTATATTATTTGACCGATTTCCTCAAAGCTCCTTGTTGAAACAGCCATCGAATTGTGGGCTCAATACAAACGGGAACAAGTACTGCGGAATGTGTACCCTTATGGGTAAATGCAAGGAACCTCCATATTATGTGGGTCACCTGAGAGGTACAAGTCGTTTTGTTCCTGAACTGCTATATTATGTCGTCATAAAAGTCCCGGCTATCGGACCGTCAATAGATCGGTGTCGGCTTGATGCGAAAACCATCTCCTTTACAATTTTTCTCCTTTTCCATTTCTTTGTTTAGTTCCTCTCCATTCTCTTGTTCCTCGTTTTGACTACGTCAGACAGACCTATTCTCAGTCTTCACCTTTTATTCTTATGAATTGCGATTGTGAGGCTTTCGCACTTTCTTTTCAAAAACACGTATGAGACATCGTTTTCATTGTTCGAATAAATGTCGGTAGTTCACTCATTCTTATAGGAAGACCGGTTGATAAACAAATACTTTCAGATAACTCTCGGCTAGTGGTATTGCCTCTAATCCTACTGGAATGGTTCAATTACCGGCAGATGCTCCTTCACCAAGGCTCTGCATTGTGGAGAAAAATTCACCAGATCAGGTATTTATTTTCCATTTCTTATTTCCATCGAGACTTTTTGTTAGCTGCTTCTGATTGTTTTGAACAAAAAGGCTGAATTTGCGTTTCATCTGTTGACGTGAAAGTAATAATTTCTAAGAGAAACGAATTTTGCACCTTTTCCGAGGCGGACTGCTCACTAGTTGGGAATGTAGAAATTGATGCTTACTACCAGTTGACTGACTTTAGAATCTAGCGAATTTAAACCTTATTGAAGGGAATGCTAGCAAAGTTGTACTTCCGCGTTCGCTTTTTCCTTTTTCTTGAAGTTTATCCTTCCATTGAAGTTGCAGATAACATCACGTCACCATTGTTGTTTAAGGAAGTTATTCGCCCTTTTTTTCGAGTATTTGCGAAAAAGTGTTATTCACCATACTTGAACCTGATCCCTCTGGAAAAAAAGATCTCCGAGTACGCCCATGAAAAACTGTGGTGTTATACTAGACTTTTTACTGTCTTTGTTTGTAGTTTTCCTTCTTCGATGCTAAATGATCTTGATGATCCTTGAACTTCTGAGTAGCAAACGTCATTAGATATTACGCTTCTCCTTATTCTACCGCATTATGGTTATCCTTAATGATTTGCATACATAAGCCGTATTAGTAGAACCATAGAGTTGACATCTAACTGGTGAAAATATTAAAATTATTAAAATAATAGATTCAAATTCAATTCTCCTTACAGGAGTATGGATACAATCTTCATGCAGAACGAGGTCGCGGCCAGTTTGTGGGGATGGTCGACAAGGTAAGTCCATTCTCTCACAATGCAACCCCAGATTTTTCATTTTCGTTCAATTTATCTACTTAAGGGCTCTCCCGCGGACTTAGGCGGGCTGCGTATGGGCGACCGAATTTTTGCCGTCAACGGGCATAGTATCATTGGAGAAAGTCACAAAAAGGTCAGTTTTTTGACTTTTCAGCAAGTAAGAAAGGCTAGGGGCGCCTACTCGCTCAGTCATTCCACCAGTTTTTTCGTAGCAATACATTGATACCTACTGAGATGGCGCTCACATTCAGAGTATTATTCCCGGATGATTTATGATATATTTCACTACTGTAGTCAGAGAAGACAAGGCGGAACGACCAGATCAATATCAGGAGTGGTTGTACTTTTGCTACTCAGTATTAGTGAACAGTAAATGTCTTACTCATATATCTTCAAAGCCCAGTAGTGAGGCCTAACATATTCAGTCCTTACCTCTCTCCCTAGCGCTTTTCTTGTCAGAAATTTCCCTATCACTCAGCACATCTTGGGAGGGTGTTGATCTTGAGAATGATAGTTTAGGGCAGACTGTGTCAGATAGGAAGGCCACCCTACTGTTCGGATGAATTGCGAGGAGCCAGCCGTTCAGCGCTAAATACCTTCAATCGAGCAACTGTTTGTTAGCGGGCTCACTGTTACCATGTGACTGAATCAACAGCATTACTCAGCCTCTTAGGAGATTATTCAGAGCGCTTTCACAAACTGGAGGGGGCTGTACCCCACACTTACACCCACATGTATAATGATTTGAAATACATTCCATTCCGAAGTGTTATAGTGAACCAGAAGGTCTTTGATCTCAACTAAGTTTGCTCTATAATTCTGTACACAACTCATTTCAACCTTTTGGTTTTTGGAAGCAGCTCTATGTAGAGGCTTGATTGGAGTGTAGAAAAATAGAAAAAGCAATGAAAATGCGTTTGGTCAAATAGCGAATGCATGCCAATCGTTTCTCGCCAGCTCACTTTGTTTTGGAGAGGCCAACTCTGTTTGTTCCCGAAAATAAAAAGGGCAAATGTACTAGTCGCCGGTTTGTCGATACAATTGTGGGGTGATTCTGTAAGTGAAAACAGGGAAGAAAAGGTCAGAAGAATAAGCCACCCGTAGTAGCCTCGGCGTCGGCACAGTAGTATATGCAGGATTGTATTGACATCAAGGGATGCAACCGATAGCTGTACCCAACTATCCATACCTTCCCTCGAAAGATTTTTCTAAGTTACAAAGCGCTGTTTCGTTATTACGATAAGTGCAGCGGAATTCCTAAATCGAGGCCTAAACGTTCTAATCCTAAAAACCTGAAAATCTCAGTTTTCTTGCCTACATTTATTCCGAGAGAAGAGGTGGTGTAGTAGCGAGCGTGCATACTGTCACGCGCGTGGCTGAGTGATCGAATCGCGGGTCGATCTCCGCACAGACCAACCGAGTCTTCCGCACCTCAGAAACCTGTTTCATTAGGACAGCACTCATCTGATTGTGGGAGGCTGAGAGTACATATCTTGTTTATATCAAATGGTCACTGCATCTCATTGTATGAGTCACAAACACATTCAACGCGCTACTCCGATTTTGAATGGAATTCCAGTGATGGAGTACATCCCTCACGCGGGACTGTTTAAGGCCCAGGGACTTTACCCACTATCCTTCCTCTTTTAGTCATTCTTAGAGATTGATTTGGTGCTTGTTTCATTGTAACTTGCCCAAGCTTTAGTGAACGGCACGCTCTGCAGAATACTCTGCTCTAATTGATTGTAGGAACTCGACTTGGGTACTACTAAACTTATAAGTTAACTTGGCTCCATCACCGAACCGCGCAAGAGTGAAGATTCTTTTTTTGATAGGTGTGCCAAAATTACAAAAGAGGTCTACTGGATGTTTTTGATGGTTATCTTCATTTATTGACGACAGCTGTCTACTGGTTAGGTAGCGTGGACCTACGTGATTCTCATCTTTTTATTACGTTATTAATAAATTACTTGGACAAAAAATCGAAGCCTAAAAAATTAGGTAGAAATAATGTGTACAGTAGGGGTGATAAACTTCTAGACCATTCCGCGGGCAATCAACACTATTATAAACAAGGGCACGCACGTGGCTTTCGTGCCATTTACCAAGTTTACTATCAGTGATTGGGCAACATCAGATTCATGCCATCACCTCCTACTAGGTACGCCAAGGGTGAAATGGGAGTGAATCGGCTGAGCATATTAGCGACCTATCGCTGAAAGCATTGCTCACCGATCAACGCTCAACAATTGGTTGCCTCGCCCCGCTGCAAGGAATCCTACCCGTCGAAGTAACACAAGCATCGTCTTATGGTTTGTGGGGCTTGAAGGGACCCAAGCATTACGAGTTGTTGAAGGCAGATTGTGACAGTTATCGCTTACCCCCATGTATGAACCCCAACATTTAGAGAAAGGCGTCCAAACCAACACTCGGGTACACTGTCCAACAACAAGCACGTCTAAGTTTTGCTCAAGAGACCCTCGAAAATTCAGTGGCTTCGCTTGATTTCATGTTGTTCACCAATCGTACTCCCAGAACGTTTTTGAACACATTGTGCTCCGTCTTCTCAAACATAACTTCGTTGAAAAGGAGTTCACAACTTATTATGGTTTGAAAATGGCAGTCAATGACTTTTAGAGTCCCAGTTTCCTGACTTCTGGGTAAAGGACATCACTGATTTGCTAAGAGGATAAATTAAGGCTATTAATCTCTGTAGTGAATCGAATTTCTATGATTTGACTGAATTGGAAAATTCTATAAATTTATTCAAAACGATTTTTTTGTCCAACAACTCCTTGTCAAATTCCATTAGTATTTGAGGTCAGCAACAATCCACATGACAGTTTATGATTAGAAATCCAGTCGTGATAATACTGAATACTTAGAAACCTTCAAAATAAATCTACAAAATTGGTCCAGTAAACGACCGCTCAATATGAACTGAATAATCATATTTTTGCTTTTTTTAAGCCCTATTTCTGACAACATTTCCTGTGGGAAATTTCCTACAGATGGCTACAATTCCCTCGTCGTTTGCATCGTATGATGTTGACTTCCTAGACCTTCACTATTCTCCTTTATGTATTGTGGTCAGTCAGGTAGCGCGAGGCCCTCTATCGCTCTTCAAAATCAACAAGGAACTTAAAATGCATTCCAATCATTCTTCTCTAAACAGCTTTCATCGAAAGGGTAGCCCTGATAACACCTTGTACTATGTAAGCCGAAATGGGCCCGAGGAAATGATGAGCAACAGCGGGAAACTATTCTGAGTTCTTGAGTAGCCTTGGATGATGCACACGGTCATACACACTCGATAAAGTAATCACTTATGGTAGTCAACGTTTTTTGCTGATTTTTCTTCGGGGAATTTTTCTTCAACCATCAAAACGTCCGCTTCGCAAAATCGATTGTATTGGGGGTCTAGTGTTAATAGTTAGAAGTTGTTGAGACCTCACTGGATGAATGCGGCTGACATGTAGTGAGAGTTCCGCTTCAGTAATGTTTCAGTCGTTCAGGCCTTGCTGAGATTTGATTGAAATTAAAGTTCATTTTAGCGATACCAGTAAAAAACTAGTCTTTTAAACTCAACTTACTTAACTCTCAAGAAAAATGTATGTTCCGAATCGAATGCTGCCGCAGATAATCACAAGAGAGTTGTGCGTTTGCTTTCTTCCACCCTAGTCCCAATTGCTAAGCCTAAGCTTACGTAACTCGAATAAGCCACAAAAATTAAAATCTAGCAGAAATTCACCANTCTCAAGAAAAATGTATGTTCCGAATCGAATGCTGCCGCAGATAATCACAAGAGAGTTGTGCGTTTGCTTTCTTTCACCCTAGTCCCAATTGTTATAAAAGTGGCATTCGCCTTCTTCCCAAGAGAATTGTCATCTCATGCTTGATCATATTTTCAATTCACAAATTCCTGCTCTAAAATAATAGATACGTAACTCGAATAAGCCACAAAAATTAAAATCTAGCAGAAATTCACCATGTGTGAGATTGTATGGGTGATTTTTGAAAGGATTCGGTTAAAAATGTTCATCTCAGAAATGTTTTCCTTCATATCTTGAAAGGAGTGCAAGTGGAACCTAGAAGCAGCAGGGAGTGGTGGGATATAACGCACTGTTATCAGAAAAGCGCTTTAGATTGAGTCATCATCGATATTTTGATAAACTAGCCATCCGGAAGTTGGAGTCATCGTTTGTTCAACAGTGCCCCGCAAACAGACGTTAGGGCCGATGGCGAACCGCCGGGACAACTATACGTTTTGCGTTTATCCCTTAATTTTACGAATGTGTCCCTGAAATCAGTAGTAACCTTAGATTGTGCATCAACCCATCTTCAGATCTTCTCGATGATTTTTTTGATCAGTGTGCTGGCAAGGGGGTTGTCCAGATGATTGTTCTATGAAAAGTATTATCAAATGACAGTTCTCTGTCAAAGTAGTTGGAAAGATTGCAATGAGATTGATTTCCTGGAACGGTCACTCTCCAAACTTTTGAAAAGTATTGTTGCAGTTGTGTGCTGAGGTTTCCATATATTTCATGGGCGAATTTCGGCAGATGGTGGTTAAGTAGAAGCCTCAGGCTTCTGAAATCTCCAAGAACTGTATCGTCTCGCCAGAGCTTCTGCCATAGTATGCAATTAACGAGGCTTATTCACATCAGTGGTAGAATAGCAGCTAGAACCACCTCATGTGATAAGTCCCATCGAATCAGCAAAATTACGCTCGAAATCAGTTCGATGGAGATAACAATCAGCGAAATTGTAGTGCTGCTGCTGAGGCTTATCTTCTACTAATGGCTTGAAAGAGGATACTGGTTCCTGCATATGTTTCATATTGACAAGATGAATCAGTCTTGACTCATAAGTGAAATAAGTTGATTTACAATTGGCGATTCTTCCACTCCAACAACTCCCTCTAGCCAAGGATCATCACTGATTGGAGAGCATTGAGGAAAGAGGAAACAATAGACCTAATCCACCTGCAACAAAAAGAAATTCCAGAACAAAGGTTGGAAACCGGTTTAGGAGACACTCAACCTCACCCTAACTTGTGACTTATATCAAGAGCGAGAACTGGCACCTGTGGACATTTTTTCTCGAGCACTCGCATGGTGAGCCCCTTCGCCGACGTGTAGAGCAATGGGATCGTTACCAGATCATGATATGGTTCAGTCAAATATGGCAAAAACCGAGATTGCCTTCAATTTATTTAATAGTCCATTATGCAGACATTTATGTGTAAGTCCATTACGTGAAGGTCGCAAATTTTTTCAAAAATATATAAATATATTGATATTTCGGCTTGAATTTTGAACCAGGTTCAGTAAGCGTTTTGTTCAGAAAAATTACCAAAATGTATTCACAACATCACCAATGCTGTTAGTACCACCATACCTATCCAAATAACAAAACAAATACACTGTCAGCGGCAACCAAGCCATTCTGGTTGTGATCGCGGCATGCGTGTGAATATGTGCTTCTGACTCGAAAAGTGTGATAGGTACGTGAGAGACAAGCATGGCATGACTGCAGTTGACAGTGTAAATGTAAAAAGGAAAGAAAAAAGGCTTTGAAAGGTGTGCCTATTAGTACCGAAAATAATTCCACGCTGTGCAGTCATTTCAAACAAAAAGAAGGGAATCTCGTTGTTTTTTTACTGAAATGTGAAGAAAAATCTGAGGCTTTTGTGGAACATGTAATAGCTTTCGAGATTGAATGCGAGGGACATCTCAATTCGCATCATATCTTCCGGACAGGCATTGAGATGATAGTCAGTGGTGTACCCCCACATCGGTAGAAGGTCATTGTTTCTGACTAAATGCGATTGACTATTACCATTTAAGGTAGTCGAACGTATCAAGGAAAACGCCACCCGTTGTGAAATGCTGGTCATATCAGAAGAGGGAGCTCAGTGGTATCAAGATCACGGAATTGAAATTAATATGCAGCTTCCTAACATAGAAAGAGTAAATTCACACGGTGCCATTCACACAGTACCGATTGTGTGAAAGTTTTGCTTAAGGTGACGCGGAATGGCACATCAAAAGCGAATGGGAGCCCACCACCAGCAGCTGGATGGTATGCCCCGACTACAAAGGTAAGCACTAGTTCGAACCTGTGGATCCTATAATTCCAAGCTCCTTTTCTAGGCTATTGCATGGGGTTCCCCTATTGTGGGAATGGAGCTTGGATTAATAGGGTCCATGCCTTTGTTTTTGTACCTTTCATATAAACCTTATTTGCGTTTTCTCACAAGAAGTAACAACTTCGCTCCACGGCTCTACTACTTTTTACTAACACATACTTCATACCAATCGCTAAGGTGAACATTGAGCCTTCACACTGTTCATCATCCCTTTTTTGGGTTCTCGGGTTGTCCATCCTGGAATTCTGGTAGTGGTCCAACAACTCAATTCCTAAATTTTCTTGAATTTTTCTTTCTCGACGTTTTCTTTGAGGTGGCCAGTCGTCAGTAAATAAGTAGTAAACAGCAAAAGCCAGCACATTTTACAACCTTCTGCTGAGAAAGATTTGTCCGATACGATTTGGCAGAAATGTTCAAAACATGTCTGTCATGCTTGGCGACCCGATGTTGACCAAGAATTGTTTGGCTTTTCGTCTAGATTCCTCTTATCAATCGAGTTCTCAAGCTTTGAAATACTCAATTATTACGCCTCTTTCGGTTGTACATCATAGCCTGCTGCTGTTGGCATAACACCCACGGGATTCTTCTTTGAGAGTGCGTTGAGTCAGACAGTAAAAGTGCGTCAAGTCGCCCTTTCACCATTGACTTGGGCTGATTCCCACTCATCGGCGCTGAAGCTTCATCCTGATTGCATCGGCTACACTATTCTTGCTGTTGTACAACTACTGCTTAGAGTCTACGCTAATTCTGCTCAGTAACTAGTTTACGATTTGTGCTGAAATATTCACGATCGTCCCGAGGCGATAACTACTTGCAGCGGTCTGACATCTGCTAGCAGAAGTTGGTGCTGGGAGCAGTGTGATATCTGGAGTTTTCTAAGGATTAATAGTGTGTGACGTTTAGTCATCATCTGCCATATTTTTGTTTCGGCTCAGTGACGATCACGTCCCCCCACTGCTCTCGAGCGTCGTATCACAACGCATCGTCTCACGTCACCGCCATCATCAACAGACCAACATGCTCTTAGAGCTTTTCGCTCTCGTTCTATTCTTCATCACTTTGTGCAAGATTGTTGACGAGGACTGCAAGAAACGCATCAAATCGGCTCTTCAAGAGAAGGATGAGGAGTGCCAACAAGATTTTACGAAGGTTAATTTTTTAATTTGAAGGGTTAAGGGTCACTCCTAAGGCTAAAGGTCAAGATGCACTCGATAAAGATCTGGGACGTATTGTTGTCCAAGTGAACTATACCCGGCTGAAAAAGATTACGTGTGTGGCGAGACAGTGGAGTCAAGAGGTGTGGGTTTGCAAGATTGAGCCTAGGGACAGCGCCCTGAGTGGAATATAGACGGTGATTTTCATGGATAGCAACTCAAGCCGCGTTTGGAGTGTATAGAATTGGTAATTGTACTTCTAGATCAGCTGATAGTATTAGACCGACTAGAAGACTGAAGAATTAGACGCTTATTTAGTCAACAGCGATAGGTGCCTTGGAAACTTCTCTCAAAAGTGAAAGCATAAAATTTTAAATTTAAAATTTTTAAAGGGATCTATAATACTTTTGTTTGCAGAGCGAAAAGGCTTCTCGTCTCATGTCTCCTCTCTTTTGCAATAACATTACTGTTACCGAGTTTTTTGACAACGAAAATGTCTTATCGAGATATAAGCTGTTTTCGTCACAAAATTCGAAGAATGGACACTGTAGGGTGTTCGTTCGATTAGCACTGAAATTGTTCCCGTCGAAATCGTTCTGAGATCTAATACAGAAGTTTCTCTGATATTAATGATGTTATTTGTAAGGGTTGTATCACAACAACTAGGGCGGAGGTGGTGTAGTGGCAAGTGGCGCACTATGTCACACGCATGATTAGGGGTCGAATTCCTGATCGATACTCGCCTGGGCCAACCAAGCCTACCGTCCCTCCGGGGTCAGTTAATTGGTACCGGACTCGTCTGGGAGGATAAAAGCACTGACTTGTAAATCGGCTGGCCACCGCAAGCCATTGTATAGGCCACATACGCACTCATTACGCCACTACGATTCTGAATGGGGTGTGGGGGCTCAGACGGGATTGATTAACGCCAAAAGACTTCCTTTATATCACATCACCTACCTACATCCACCATCTTACACTAAAGATTTCGAGGTGCTTCATTTGCAGGCTCCTGTACTATAGCTCTGATCTGTACTACCCATCATGCTCTAGTGCAGTAGGAATAAGGGGTAGTACAGGTCAGGCGTACATAGGACTGTCTTGGGTGTGCTCACTGACATTGAGACAACATTATGGCATCATGACTTTCCTGCCCTTATCAGTGGGCACGACGGCTTGACACCCTGTCGACGCTGAATATCACTTTCGAAAGAGCCGTAAAAAGTTTTACTGCCTATCAATATCATGAGAATGCCCTTCTAATGGCCCTGCAAACATGGAAACGAAGGGATACGAAACTTTTTCAAAGAAAAATGCAGATGCTGTTCCCACGAAATAGCTCTTATGTTCGTAGTTTGGTGGTTAAGATGACTGATTCCTTTAAGGATTGTAAATATGGAATTACGGTAGAATAAAATGTGTAGCCATAACAGTTCTGCTTAAGAAAGGCGCATCCCAATCTTGATGTGTTTCGATTGTGCTATATCACAATTGTTCAATCTTTCAACGACTTGCTAACTGACAATCTATCAAGGCTTTCTCATTTCATGCTTTCCACTCCACCCTTAGAAATTCACTCAAAACGTGTTTGTGCTATGCAGCGTTTTGTGAATCCACGCATGAATCATCTCTGTAGAAAGAGATGTATCCATCAAGCTTGATTGGGGTTTCTGATAAAATTTTGTTTTTTTTTTCTAGACTTTGGAGTTCTATAATTCAATCGCACCACCGCCCACTTCTTGATCCTGGAATACAAAAATGCTCGTTCCTGCTTCAACGCTCCTATCGCTCACCCAAGGGGCTCACAGGGTCGAGAATGTCTAGTGAGATCAGTAACTACGAAAAGGAAATCGTACTTGGAAGTACTAGTATTTCCTACCTTCCTATAATGCTACGGAATGTTGCANTCTTTTCCGCTTTTTTTCCTTGCTTTAGTACCATCACCACTCAATAGCGGATACGAGTTGAATCATAGATTGTTGCTCCCTTTTTGACCGGGCCTCATTCACTTGAACCGTCCCAATTCGCATAACGGACCCCATATTTCATGTTCGAAACTAATATTGATTAATATCCGTGTTTTTTAGGGGTTATGGAAATCTCTTGCATTAATCATTGACAAAGCATATTTATTCATACACCAATATTGTATCAATCAAGTCATCTTTTTGGGTTACGTCAGGCACTGCAATTCCATTGGTTCTAGTTTTCTTCTCCTACCTGCATTCCTCCTCGCAGCCCACTGGTTGTTTCAGAGACCGATGCTCTGCTTTTGGACCATGTGTATCCTTTTTTCGAAAGCACCTGAGTCATTTGCTCACCAAGTCTTGCAAAGTGGAGGGTGTGTGGGGAAGGTTGAGCGTGTAGCAAGTTAGCTCCCTGTTGGTTGTATTGTTTTCTGTGTTCATATATGTCATAATGTGCTCAGGCATAATAATTATTTGATGTCGGTGCAAACTTGGAAGGTAAAGCGCAGAAATAGCCATCAAGCGCTACTGTTATATGAAGGAGAAATACAGAACATCGTTTTAATACTTCTCAGACCGACCAACTTGTTCTTGTATCTGATTCTTCTTACAGGATTCTTACAGGAATATTAATGTCCTTGTTGTGGCTACCAGCCTCATTTGCATTTCCGTCCCTAATCAGAATCTTCGTTCACTCCTTTCTCCATTGAAACGTTGGTATTCTATTACCTTTCTCCGAGCGGCTGTAACTGTAGAACTAGCTAGCAGGTTGCCATGTGAGACGATGGAAAACTCGTACTGGAATTACTGCGGCAATGGATCGATCCAGGAAATGAAGAGTTAAAGGACATGTGACACGGTTTTCTTCAACATAATGTTTGGCGGCAGAAGTGGAACAGTACGTGCATGTGATGCATTCCACCTGTGCACGCTGAAAGAAACGGAATTCATCCAGTACATGTATTCTTGCCAACCCCTTGGTCATAGGGTGGTACTCAGGTTAATCCTTGGGGCAAAACCCTTAGCTAAGGTTTTCAGCGGGCTTTGCTGTCACTGCATGTATCGATTACAGTATTCAGATGATTCTGAACGTCAAAGGCATCCTGCAGTGGCACTAGCCCTTCTGGGACGGTTCATTTGCTTTTTAAAGGAGTGTGAGTAAGGAAAGCTGGAAAGGAAAAACACGAGAAGCTAGAGGATAATAGATGTGGTGTAACAATGAATGAATCACCATGGGAAATCGCATTAATCATGCTTGTTTATATGAGGTATCACGGATTGTTCGTGGTATACATTCCAGGCTATAGTGGTGAGTGATTTGGTCAGGGACTGTTGTTCCAATGTCTACCATAGGCAAATAGAATCAGCAGCGGCGTATGTCCCTCACACACACCTCGCTCACCTTTCCTCCTTCTTGTGCCGCCGCTGACGCCGCCGTTCGGCGGATCGTTTCTCGCTGCATCAATACCACCGATAGAAAGCTTTTTTTTCCGTTGCGCTCAATGTCCTCGATAGCATGCGTTCGGTGTACATCAGATGCCTAATTGTTCTCGTTATCTTTCCAATGGGGCTGCGAATGTGGCTGCTAGAAGGCCAAGTACACCAACTGTCAGCATCTGTTTCGCCACGGCATTCCTTCACTGGTGATGAGCAACGTAGGTTGCCTCTATTTTCTCGCTTTCGCTGAATGTAATAGGCTTGTTCCTCTATTTACTCTCATAATAAGCATGCTTTCCAATCAC